GTAAGCTTTTCAGTGTCTTCCAGATCTCCTGCTAGCCTTTGTTGCTTAGTTCCAGCTCGCATACTCGTACATTCAATGTACTGATGCCAGTTGGCCTGCATCTTATGATGATGCAGACGCAGGTACCCAGGATCAGCATCCAGCCCGCCGTTGATCCAGCTGAGCACTCCAGAGTCAGTGGTGAGCCTCCTTGCCTTTCGGAGGACTCTGTTATTTTGTGTTCATAGTTTTGTTTTATCAGGATGTTGCGGGGTCTACCCCAACATCCATCTCAGTGTTATAGAGGCTTCATAGATAGTCAGTCAGTCAGTTAGTATTGAGTCTCTCATTTATGTATATATGTAAATATTCTATTTTGAGGCACGAGTTGCCTTTTGGCATGCTATGCATCAGTTAGGTTGTTTTATAACCTTTCATTGCATTAAGTTATTCTGTTGAGTTAGGTTTCCGCTGAGTTGAGAAAGCTAGGCCGAGGGTTCGCTTGGGGCCAAGAATGGTCTTCGAGTGCCGGTCCCGCCCAGGGTGTAGGCTCGGGGCGTGACACTTTTTATGATTAGCTTTTGTTGGAGGGTCTTGGATGAGTTTCGTATGTTCAATTGAAGATTGGTGATTTGATGTTGTTAAACTTAAATGTTAAAAAATGAAATTGAATCAATAGTATGTATCATGGTTTAGAACAATTCGACAAAAGAATCATTCCATTTTTAGTTCATATGAGGGAAATATGACCATTTTAATGCAGACAATTATTGTTTGTTTTATGAGAGGGTAATGTGAACGCAAATAAGCTTTTAGGAGTTGACCGATCAAGGCTGACTATATTGCCATACTACCTTTATTTCAGCAGCGACTTTGGCCAAAATGTGTGCCCTAAAAGTTATTTGATGTCGTGACAAATAACCTTTAGAGCTTGTTTGACATTGCTGTTGGGAGGTCAGAAGTGCTTATTTTGAGAAAAAATTACTTATTTTTGAGAAATAAAGTGTTTGACAAATTCTTAAAACTGCTTTTAAATGAAAGCAGTAGTAGTTTTTCTGATGTTGGGAAGAAGATAAAAATTTCTAGATTTAAAAAAAAGCATAAGCAGAAATAAGAAATTAATTTATTAAGACTAAAATATCCCTTACATATATACATATTTATCAATATATCTCTTATTAATTAATCAACATATCTCATAAGTTTGGTTGATTTTTATTCAAGAATTTATTTTTTATTTTATTTATGTTTTATATTATTATTTATATATTATATTGTATATATTACTTTATGTATTATTTTATAGAACTAGAAATAAATGTAACAACGATATTTTGTAGGATTAAAAAAGAGAAAAAATAACAATTGATGATTTAGACCCTCCCCAAAAAGTAACAAATAACAAATTTTCTTTTCTTAATTTATGTATTATTTTATTTTAGTTTGAATTTTTAAAACTTTAGAGTACTAAAACAAAAAAAAGAGAAGAGGATAATAGCTAAGACTGAATCCAAAAAAATAGGTAATAAATAACAAAAAGATTCCTCTTTTCAAAAAAATTCAACAACAAATATCTATATACAATATTGATTGAAAATTTTAATTTGTACATTTCAAATAATTAAATTAAAATGTAATTAAAGTTTCTGTATTAGATGTTTAAAATAGTTTCTCTCTATAAAATAAGCTTAATATTAAAAACACATTGATACTTGCCCTTTTTCGTGATTTGATTCTCAAAAACACTTTTTAAAGAAAATTAGCCAAACACAAACTGCTTATCAAAAGGACTTTTAAAATAAATTTGCCAAACACAAATTGTAGTTTTGAAAAGCACTTTTCCGAAAAACTATTTTTAAAAAGTGATTCTAAAAATAAGCAGTTTTTAACAGTAATGCCAAACATGCTCTAGTTAGGGAAGTACTAGCAATATGGACTTGAACATATAAATATATTGAGTTTTGTAAAGTGATCCTCAAGAAAGGAAAACATATATATGTCACTTTTTACCCAATAATTTTTTTTTTAACTACCCGTCCAAAATTATATTGCATATTTTAATATTACTTATCTCTAAAAAAATAAAAAAAATACCACATAAATTAAGACATTAAAAATATATTATGCAATGGTGCACTCATGATCTAAAATTCTAGTGGACCCAAACCTAAAAGAAAGGTGGGTTCTGGCAAACCTAATAGTTTGTTTGG